CTTGAGCCAAGTGGCAGGAGGTACCTTGTATAGGGACATAGCCCTCTGGAGGACTTCGGTAACGCTCACAGTCTATTCACATGCAATTATGTGATGAAGTTACTATTTTTTGTAAGTTCTTGCAAATCAAATTTTCCTGTAGTGCTTGGACTTCAGAAGCTATTTGGTTCTTACTCCACCTTCTGGAACATTACGGGGAAGGAAGAGTTCAGCTCCTGCTACATCCTGGTGTTCAAACTGTTGTTCTTCCCTGTACTATCCTAAATTGGCTAGAAGTTAGTTAGCTATACAAAGATGTAATCATGGTGTAAGCTATAGTGGGAATGTACATTGTATCCTGTACTCTACAGCGAATCTGAAGTTGTTAATCTCTCTTCCAATGAATGGGAAGTCGTCTAAAACTACTTCATGTTGGGAAAAAATGGGAATATGAACATTGATTGGTACTGTGAAACATCCAACCTACTTCATGCTGTATTGCTTCTGAGATCAGTACCTAATCTTTAAGGTCACTAATTTTGCATATATGTGCAATGAAGCTGTTCTACTCAGTTTGTCTGAAATGAAAATGTATCAGAAATTGTACAAATAAGTAGGCAGAAATTAAAACAGGATTAAAAAATGCACTGTAAAGTGATCCTGAGATAAATTAAAGTCTTTTGAATCATCACTTCAAAAGGGAAATCTTATCTCCTTTCACCAGCCAAAGGCATTTTCTCTTTGACAGCAGGCTCTGATTTCTGGTCATATGGACATAGTGTGCAAATCTGGCACCATCTACTCAGTTCTTATTGATCACCAGAGTTCTCTCTCGTATGCTCTCTCTGCATATGGATGTTGTTCTGCATAGTAGAGCATTTTGCATTCTGTGTGTTGAACTAGGTGTCTTTGGGAACATTCTTTAATAATATATTTAAAGATGTTCCTTCTGTAGTCTTTCTAAAATTGAAGCAATTTATCATTGCATACAAATATTTTTCTCAAAAATATTTTTTATATTTATGTGATATTAAAGTTTTGCAATACATTTATCTTTTTATTGAGAAATGACTTGAGAATGAGGATGTGTTGAGAATGGGTGAGCCAGTAACTTTTCATGTACACTGAGCACCGCATGCAGAATTCAAGCAGGTGGATAAATCATTTGAACTGAAATGGAATAAATACAGAATTGCATTTTGATTACAAACAAGGTACGCATATAAATTCAGAAACTCTAATATCATCAGCCTGGGGATAGTATTCCTCATATTTTCTTCAAGAGCTATGAACAGAAACCTAAGAACAAAGTAGGACTGTATTCAAATAATCTTAATTCTGTCTGCATCTCTACAATCATATCTGGATTTCTTATTGTCTGGCCTCCAAGGCCATTTTGTCTTTACCTGTACAAGCAGCTAATGGAAAGTTTGCATTATAATTACAAAACAAAATTTCAAGTCATCTTTCAGGACTGGCCATAACTAGCTGAGAGGTGCCTAGGAATAAAAGAAATCCTGAACAACTGAAAAGTCTATGTCACATTTAACAGAAAGTAATTTCTAATGTATTGCAGGCAAATATGTAATCAGAATAAACAGGAAGAAGTATCCATACTATGAGCACTTCAAAATATTGGTGTGTACAGTTTGATTGTACTGACAACCTGTCAGACATCTTTTTGGCAGAATATCATGTAATATACTAAGGAAGGGAAATACAGTAGAATTTCCCACCTTTCTATACCTAGAATTACTTTATTCCTAAAGCACACTGGAGTGTGGTACTGGCCATAACCCACATGATGCTGGCAGCAGGGGGGTTGCAAGCAGGGCTGGAGCAAAAGAACTGCCCAAGCAGGGACCGAGCAGAGGACTCAGAGGGAGTTGCCTCTCTGGCAGGACTGTGGCCAGTGAAGGAGCCCATGCTAGAACAGTGGAGGAAGAAACAACGATCCAACAAAGAAAAGGAACCACAACATGATGACTCGAATCTCCTGCACTTCTCACTGCAGGCATAGTGTGTGGGCAGCAAGGGGATGGGAGGTTAGAAAGGGGAGAAGTGGTGTCTGGAGGGGAGTCCAAGTGTAGTTCTCTAAGTGTTTGTTTCTATTTTTTGGTAGCAGAATCAGTAATTAAAAGTTTGTTAGTTGGCCAATAAATTAAGTAACATTTGCCGATGCAAAATTTGTTTTATAGCCAGCGACACTTTACAAACCACAGTGTTTGTGGCTATTCTTCAAACATTTGGTACAGTTCTTGCAATTAGATTTACTGAAGTCAAACTGCCTTCTCCAATGAGGTGGCTAGCTTGGTGGGTGAGCGGTAAGCAGTGAATGTCATTTACCCCTATTTTAGTAACGCTTTTGACATGGTCTCCCATGGCATGCTCATAGAAAAAGTATGAGTTAGGTAAGTAGGCAGTGAAGCAGATTGAAAACTGGCTGAGTGGCCCATCCCAGAGGGTTGTGATCCGCAGCACAAAGACCAGCTGGAGGCAATTCACTAGTGGTGTACCCCATGGGTTAAAAGTAGGACCAATCTTGTCCAGGGTCTTCATTAATGACCTAGACAGTGAGACAAAGCACACACTCAGTAAATTCACAGATGATACTGGGAGGCAGGGATGATACACCATATTAAAAATGTTTATTATTAAAAACCACAAAATATTTATTTTTGAAGCAAGTTACTACTTTTAAATGTACATTGTTGTCCAGAATTGCTTCCTTTCCTGAATTCTGAGAGCTTCTCCTACCTCTGCTGCCACAGCTTTCACCAAACTTGACCTTCTGTTTAGGAGCAACTCATTGTGAACATTTCTTAAGAAATGAATTAAGCTAGAACTACCCAATAAAAATTACTTGGAGCTGAGTAATTCCATGTTATCGCCTTTTTTCAGGGACATTACATCATAGAGAAGGAATTAAAAATGGGCAGCTGGGAAAGTTAATTATCCTACTTTTCCTGAATTTAATATGTCAAAGGTCTTTTGGTTTCTTAACTGAACAAGGAAGAAAATGTATATAGGTTTGTTTTATTATTTTCCTCCCAACCTTCTTCTGACATTGCCTGGAGATTATTTACATGCCAGAAAGGATAGGTACCTTCAATACTTTGTACTTTTTTATTGTGTGGAAGTCAACTAGGCATGAAAATGTGTTACTTCCTTGATTTTACCATCGCCACCAAACTCTCATGGGTCAGTGAGTAGAAAGCAAAACAAACAAAAATCATGTTCCACTAGTAGTGGAACAAGTGCAATAGATAGTTAAACCATTCTGCAAAGATATTATCAAATCCATCCTTTATTTGATTTTTGATAATTTTTTAATTTTGTCTGGTAGGACAGGCAAGCAGAAATAGATTTTCGTAGCACTATAATGGATATAACATTTTATACCTTGTAAATTTCTTTCCTTATATGTTTCATTCCATTCGTTTCCACTAACGAAACTCAGTCAACTCCTCTCATCTGATCTTATTTATCAATTTAAAAGATATGCATCTAATCTAAATTTGCTGTCTAGGTTCCCCTTATAGTTGGTGCAGCAAGACAGGCACTAAAAGAAAGTAGTATACTTGGTAGCAGGATGGGTTATTTTGCTGTATAGTGTATGGTCTAGTAGGATGTCTGAGGTGTTTGAGATAGATGAGGTGAGTCATTCTTTGGTGTCAGTCTGTCCCCTCATCACTACAATGAGAACACAGGAGATCACCTCAGACGTGCAGTCCAGCTTCAACACCTTCAGTTCGATGACATGAAGCCCACATGAATTTTCTAGTTTTTCATGTTGTATTTCACTCTGAGCCAAGAGCTGAGCCCGTTATGAGTTTTTATTTGATGCAGTACTTAGAGAGCAAGCTCCTGAAAGAAGCAGTCATACCTTCTATTAATAATTTCTTTTTAAAGTTGACCTCTGCTGCTGTGGTTTTAAGAAAGGCTGTCCTTGGTACCCCTCATCTTTATTAGTTAAACTTTTTATCATACAAGGTGGTAAGAAAAGTAATTAAATTACCAGAGGTCACTCTTATTTCATAATTCCTTGCAGTTAAAAGGCATAGAGAGAACGTCTGAAATGAATTAAAGTTATAACCTCTTAAAGACGATACATGACATTTCACTGTAATGTAAACTTTTATGTCCACCAGTCATTTATAATATTTTCAAAGAGAAGATGAGCACTTTTTTATTAAAAAAAAAAAGTCCTTCATAGTGCAAATTCTTACACTAACAATATTTAATATAGAAAATAACAGTTTTTTTATTGTGCTGGTGGTTTCTTTTCAAGCTTCTCATGAATCTATTCCCATCCCCCCTCGCTGTCCGTCCCCGTCCCCCCCCCAAGTGGCTCCTTTTAGTTGTCTGGCCTTTATATTGAATTTTGAATGAAACTTATAGAAATGTCAGGTTGGCTCCTTTAGGGACTACAGTTGAAACCATCAAGCTCACTTTCATTGTCTCCAGTTGGTGACAAATGGCAATTTTATTTAGCAAGGAATGGTTCTCTTTAAGGTTGGATTGATGGATGGGGCCATAAGAGGTTGGGCTGGCTGACAAGGTTACCCCTACCAGCTGTCTACCCATCCTTGCTGCATGAATGTCTGTGCTGCTTGTCAGTCAGCTTTTGAACCACTGCTGTTTACAGTGTAGTGTTTTAAGGCAAACTGTAATTGGTGACAGCTTACTTTCCTTTAAAATGCTGTGCTGCAGATGGTGGTGGTTCTAAAGCTCACTGATGAGCAGCTCAGACATCTGTGCAGGAAATGCAGACTGGACAGCTAGGGTGGCAACAGTGTCAGCTGTCCCAAGCAAAGCCAGCCCTTTTTGACATTCAAGAGTCCTTTATTTTGTCTTTGCTTTTTTTGTGTGTTTTGGTTTGGTTTGGTTCAGCTTATAGTCAGACTACTGTCCAAGAACTCCAGCTTTGAAATGTTTTTGAATGAGAATGTATAAGAATCCCAGTAGTGTTTTGAGATTTCACTACAAAATCTTAAAATGTTTTTAATTCTTGTTTGTAGGCTGGAGCAAATGTGCTGCTGCAAGATGTTAATGGAAACACTGCACTTGATTATGCCATAGAAGGGACTGAATCTAGCAGCATCCTTCTGATGTACTTGGAAGAAAACGGTAAGTCAGCTCTTCAGCTACTGGAATGTTTTTATTGAACATGACATAAAACCAAAAAGTATGGATATTGATTTGATGTAAGTCAGCACTGAAGATAGAGATGAAGGGGAGGAAGATGATTTGGAGTCACAAAAGTTTTCAGTGCATTTGTAGATTGGAACAACTGACAAAGGTTGATGGCTGTGGTCATTGTCCCATCTGCTTTTACCCATTCATATGGAGATGCTAGAATGTGAATTCAAAGCAGAAAAACTGCAGTAGTGCAGAATCTTTTTAAACAACTAATTTAACAGTGTGAGGACCCTGTTTCACATTTTGTTTCATTTCACATGTGAGTTATGTATAGGCTCAGAGTATTTTTTATCCAGTGACACTGTTAAATAAATCTCTGCAAACTGTCTGAGTGGAAGCGTATGAAACTTTATAACTTATTAAAAAATATTAGTATTGGTTTCGTTTTGTATTAAGAAAATACTGTAGCTAGATTTCTATTATGAAGTGTGCTTAATATGTTATAAATTACAGAACCTCTATTGAAAAAAGGGTTTGTTATTCACCAGTTCCAAACTAAGATAGGGGTTCTGAACTGAGACTTCTAGCATTACTTCTGACTATAATAGGCTGCCATAGGTACATGGCTCATTGTAACACTGAGGAAAATGGATTAAGTAGAAATAATAAGCAGTAATGTAAAAATGTGTAATTTCAACATTACCTCACTGTAAGTATAAATTACTTTTGAATTGCCCAGACTAAAGATTTCTCTGTGTGTTATTTTTGTGAAGTCCTCATCATTGTGGTAATTCCCATGCACACCTGTATATGCATGCCCCAATGCAGAGCAATGTCATGGCCAAAAATATTGTTGTACAAGAGCATTAGCTAATCCTATAGTAAATACCACCTTCAACCTGTAGTGTTGTGAAACACCCACCTGTAGTCTCATCCTTTAAATACAATGTAGAAGGCACATGTGTCCATTCTCTTTACTTCCCTATATTCCTAAAAGGTCTAATATTCTCCATTCTGTTGTGCAGCCTGGTTTACAATGTTGAGAGACTGCTGTGTAAAATAGACTATAATCGTTGCTTCTAAGTGCAGAGTTCACAGAGAAAAATAAAATCAAGTGCCTTATGGGTCAGCTAAGAAGAAATAAGAAGCAATCAATTTCCTTTGATTTCATCACTGTGGTAGTTCACTGTATCTGTTTAACTGAACTACAGATCTTAGTGAGTGAACTTCCTCTTCATTGTCAAAGACAACCTAATTTACTTTGTGGAAGGCTTGGAGCCATAGGTGATAACATTAGCCTTAGATGCGTTTAATGTTTTATATATTTTAAATTATTTTTACTCATTTACTGATGTTAGTTTTTTGAGTTTTGTTTGTAAATGATCTGTTAGGGCACAGGAGTATCACCAGTGCCAAGTAAAGTTAATCCTCTACCAACTGACTGAAAGCTTTCATATATACTTTATTGTTGTTATGGAATATAGCTCATCAGGACATTATATGGAAAGTATACTAATGAAGTCTATATGAAAATCTGTGCATCTCATTAAAATATTCTCTTTTCCTGTACAGAAATGAGTTTTCTCTGATGTTACATTATGTTATGTAACTGATGTTACAATGTATACTGAAAGTAATTATTGACTAAAGAAAACAATAAGCAGACTTTACTTTCCTAAGAGAAAACAAGTTGAGATACATGTTCTCTATATATTAAGAGCATCCTTTGTGCTGGGTAATAATGTCCCGATCCGATATCGGGGATAATTTAAATATCCCGATCCGATGTCGGGGAAGGTTTCGATACGATCCCAAGAGCGAGATTAAGACACAAACGAGGTCACATGCCGTACTGCCAGAACATCTTTTATTAGAAAAAGAAGAGTAATAAAGAGAATAGCGATAGGACAGGATGGAACGAAAGATGGGAAATCAAGCAAGGAGTCGGGATAGGGCAGCAAGAATAGTCACCACCACGGGTCCAGCGGCGAGGCGACGGTGAGGGGTGGGTGAGGAGGTCTCAGTTGCTTGTTCCAGCGGTGATGTGGCATGGCGAGGTGCGGTGCGGTGCAGTGCGGTGCTGTCAGGCAGTCGTCCTCTGTCTCCCTCCTCTCTCTCTGCCGC